TAAACCATGTCTTGAAGCGCCACATCTAAATGTTTTCTGAACACCTCCGGGGACAGTGACTCCACCACCTCGCTGGGGAGCCCGTTCCAATGCCTAACAACTCTAACAGTGAAGAAGTTCCTCCTGATATCCAACCTGAACGTCCCCTGGCACAACTTCAGATGGTTTCCTCTTGTCCTATCGCTAGTTACTGGGGAGAAGAGACCGGCCACTACCTGGGTACCCCCTCCTTTCAGGCAGTTGTAGAGGGCGATCAGGTCTCCCCTCAGCCTCCTCTTCTCCAGACCGAACACCCCCAGCTCCCTCAGCCGCTCCCCATCAGACTTGTGCTCCAGACCCTTCCCCACCTTCGTTGCTCTACTTGTGGGACTGCAGCAAGAGGAGTTGAGGCGAGTGGTCCTTCGTGGGGGTACAGGCGGAGGGAGGTATTTCCCTCCTGGATACAGCGCGGTTTTGTTCCAGAAGATGAGTTTCCTAGTTTGGCTAATATGTCTGGTTGTGTAAGGCGATGCAGCAGGTTGTTGCTGTCTTTGGTGACTGCTGGAGGTTTATTCTGAACACAGAATAGTCTCTTCTCAGAGCAAGTGCCTTCAGCCAAAACAAATACAAACTTCACCTGGTCAACTGAATGGATGAAGTTATCTCTTTTCCACGCTGCTGCGTTGACTTGAAGCGCTTCAGTGAGGTCGTCGTTGCCATCGCCTAACAGAGCTATTCAAGAAGAGCCGCTCCGTGCATCTCGGGCACGCGTTGCAGGGCACGCACAGCAGTAAAACCGCTACGTTCAAAGTTCCGTTATTAGGAAACGGAAAGTTTGCCATTAGCAAGCGCTCCCTCTGAAACCTCTGCTACAAATACAGGTCAGAAGGGTGTCTCTGAAGGGCGCTAAGCCTTTCGGAGAGTATGCAATAACTGGGTTAATGAAGAGTTCTTGCCATGCAAGGAACAGGATGCATCTCATATACATAGAAGCTAAATCTCCATAACGAGACTTCTAGACAGCAACTCCAACCCATGGTTAACGTGACCTGAGCTGCTACATGATAATGTGCTGGAAACTGGGATCCGGGCCACGTGGCAGGCTTCTGCGTTGCTCACTTGAAGGAAACTATTTCTACGCAGATGAGCTTGCGAGCTCCTGGTTTTGCCGTAGCAGAAGATGCTTCTGGAGCTCGTGAGGGGTCTGCGAGTGTTAATTTTGGCTTTGGCTGCAGCGTAAGCAAATGTGCACACGAGTTGCAGTTCCTGGTGGGATGGAGGGAAGGGAGGGGATGATATGTGCCTCGGACACTTTGTTTTAATACAAAATGTGCCTTTTGGCTTTATGTTAAGGGAGAGAACTATTTCTCTCTTCTGGGTTTACCACCTGACTCTAGCACGAAGATCTTTTTGAGCAGGGAAATGCCGTTATGCCGCTGACTTACTATCCGGACCGAGCTGGTGGTGATCATCTTATCTTCACGGTGAAAGCTGAACCTCCTGCTTGGCCGGGCTACGAGAGGGTGCAGCGAGGGGCTCGTCCCCTCAGAGCCAGCGAGTGCCCTTGGTCCTTCTTCTACCGCAGAACAGGTCATCGTCCTCTGCAGGCTGGCCAGGGTGCTGGAGGGAAAACTCAGCTGCTTTTTTCTTGGGACTTTTACGCTCAATAAAAGGAAACCTGTGAAGACAGCAGCCCCTGAGCACGGTTGAGGGACGTGCAATGGCAGCAGTAGGTGATGCCCAGCCAGGTGGCTGGTTTCCACAGGAGACGTGTGGGACGTGGGGCTCAGCCCTCCCTGTCTCCTGGTGCCCCGTGCCGGCGGCTGTTGCGCGTGGGCCAGGGAACCGCCGCCGTCCTTTGCAGAGGTCTGCAGTAGCTCTGAAGGTCCCCGTTTACAAGAGGGACTTAGCAGAGAAATGTTTCATTCAGCAAAAAATGCAGAGGCAGGCTACTTTTTTCCACAGGAGACGTGTGGGACGTGGGGCTCAGCCCTCCCTGTCTCCTGGTGCCCCGTGCCGGCGGCTGTTGCGCGTGGGCCAGGGAACCGCCGCCGTCCTTTGCAGAGGTCTGCAGTAGCTCTGAAGGTCCCCGTTTACAAGAGGGACTTAGCAGAGAAATGTTTCATTCAGCAAAAAATGCAGAGGCAGGCTACTTTTTTTTTTTTTTTAAATCAAATTTTTTTTGACTGTTCTTACGGCTTTCCGTATGTATTGTCAGGTTCATGTGTTAATGCGTTAACCCTTTCTGCTCCTCTGTGCATCTTTATGCTTTGCAGGAGACACTGCCTAGCAGAGGAGCCTTTGAAAGTGTTTATTTTATTCTCCTATGAATGGTTTGTGAGGACCATGTCATTCCTAGTCACCGAGAAAGACTGTCCTTGTCAGCACCGAGGATGCTGCTCTCACCCGGCGACTAAAAGATACCTGAGCAAATGACTGCACCTGGTATAGTACCAAGTGCAGCTACGTCGTAAGCTTCCTCAACAGCTTCAGAGTAGCTCAGGAATACTTGCCTCATGTTAAATCTGAGACACTGGTTTTGTGTTCTTGGTTAAGTAGCACCAGCTTGCATTTCTTCATTAGCCATCCTTTCTCTCTCTCTGTTTTAGTGTACATAGTAAACTTCATTAATTGCTGCTGCTTCTTTTAGAAATACAGTGAAATTGTTATTCTCTCTGTTTTTCTCCTCCCCCCTCTCTCCATCTCCCCCCGTCCCGCGCCCCACCTTAGGGTTGATTTCTAAAGATTCTAGGTTTTCCATACTCTCTAAGCCTTTCTGTTGCTCTCCTGCAGCTTTTCCAACCGTAAAAATTTGTCCAGTACCATTGGTCCTCTGATCGCTTTGCCCCCCTTTCCCTGTTCCAAGTTACCACCTTTCTGCCTGCCTTCCTTTTAAAAGCTGACCGAAAGAAACTGGACTCAAAGTACCTTTTGAACATTACCTCCTCCTTCCACCCCTGGCTTTTCTAGCGTGGAGTAACACAAAAGTAAAGTTTTTGAAGAGAGATCAAACACTGATTCCATACTTGGAGGACAACGAGCTACTTTGATTTTTTTTCTTTCTCTTTTTTTTTTTTTTTTTAAATCATACTTGAAGTAGATACTTATAAGTGCTTTGGCAAAAGAAATATTCCTGTGCCTTGAGAAGGCATCTTCTGTTCTGAAGCTGGCCGAGTGCAGAGGAGAAGAGATGGCCTCTCATTTTACCAGTCAAGCACATGGATCACGTGCACGTGGAGCATGACCACATCAGAGTGCATTAAGCACCTTCTGTGCATAGGGGAATAAATAGCATCACTTTACCCACAGAGTCTCCAGTTTAGAGATATATATTGTATTTATTGATAGCTCGCTCTGGGTTTGAAAGAGTGAATGCCGTTTAAATGGGTTTGGTAGTCTACAGAGTAAATCAGTGGGAGCTTTTTTAGGTGGAGGGTTTTTCATGTTTCTTAATAGTCTGAATGCCTCTGGAATATTTCTTCTGGTAATGATGATTATGTGAGCGATGTTTCAGTAGCGTCTATCTAACACCACTCACGGACATGCTATAGAAGCAGAGAAGTGGTAGCTGTAAGGTCTCTCTGTAAAATACATAACGAGCACTGGCAATGCCACCAGCCTGCCTTAACCATGATAAATCTTGCCCATTTCTGGGTGCCGCAGTAATTAATAATGACCAGCAGCAGGACAAATGTTGTCAGGCTTTCTGGGTGCTCCGGGAAAGGCAGCTCTTAGCGGATGCCATCTCGATTATGAGACTACCTGAGAGTGTGGCGTGCATCGGCTGCTGTTTGGTTCATTTGCTGGGCTAGAGGATCTAAGTCTTCTGACTAATCTGACATAACGAGGTAACAAATGGATAATTAAAGTAATGTAATTAAAGTTCCCTAAGATCAAAATAGTTGAGGCCTAGTGAACAGAAAGCCATTTTTAAGTAGTCAAGAGTTTAATTTATAACTAATAAGCAGTCCAAACATCATTTTACTAGGTTTGTGCCTAACAGCTCAATTCTGCAATAAAACAAAACCACATTTATTCAAGTCTACATCCAATTTATTATACTTCTGCTTTTCTAAGAATGATGCTATTAACACAGCACTGCTACAATGAGGAAGGCTGGTTAAGTTCTTGGTTAAGACAGTGGAATAGTTATTCCATGATAATCGCAAGATGCAAACTCCTGAGGTGTAAGGCCATATCACAGTCCATCTTAAAATAACACTTCAAATAGCTCTCGGTCTGTGTTAGTCCCCTATTGACTTTGCAGCTTCGTGCCATTTCAAGCTGTGAAAGAAAAGCTTTGCCAAGGAGGTCAACCCTGCTCTGCTTTAGCCTGAGCAATTTGCTGAGTCCTGTGCTAAGGCTGCAGACATACAAATGTCCAAAAAGGTTCTCATTCTCAGCTGGAAAGATTAATTCCTGAACTTCCCTCTTTCCTTGCAAAAAAAAACAAACCCTTTTATCTTCTTCCACTCAAGCAAATCTAACTTAAGTGACTTAAAACCACTCTGATGATTTCTCCTATATCCATAGAAATGGGTAGCCATAAGTCCACCTTTGGTCGTCTAGCTGCAGTCGAACCGGCAGCTGTGATGGTTACGCTGAAGAGCTGTCATATATACTAGTGCCTTTTTCTTACCCCTGTGGAAGTGGCTGTTGATTTGGTCTTGGTTGTGATCAGCAAATTAGCTGCATGCCGAAGTGCCGGTCTTGCTTTGGGTTGGGTTGAGAGGTAAGGGAGCTTGTGTGGTGGTTGTCCATGCTGTACTGGTACTAAACAGTCAACCTACGTACAGGGCTGAGAGGCGATGACAGTTTCTGAGCCCAGCTGGCAAGGATGTGCCATCTCTCTCACCTCCGGAAAACCATGACTTTAATAAGTGAAACCGCTTTTGCCCTACGCTTGACATGCAGCAGTGCACGTGAATACGGTCAGTCTGAACAGAGCAGGGGGGTTGTTGGCTCTGTGGATTTTTTTCCAAATAAGTGATGCTGGCTTTGGTTTTGTTGTACTTGAAGGTGCCTCGTCACCAGACATGGAGTCCAGCTATGGGGGAGGCTTGCTAGATATGGTGAAAGGAGGAGCAGGGAGACTCTTCAGCAATTTGAAGGATAACCTGAAGGATACCCTGAAAGATACATCTTCAAAGGTCATGCAGTCTGTTGCCAGGTACAGTACAGCTGAAGCTGCCTAACGCGGGTAAAATCGCTGGCTGCGAAGGGCCAGGCTGAGCTGCCACCTTCACTAGCGCAGCACACCTTCCAGCTAACCTAAGGAAGGAAGGAGGTGAAAATCGCAAGTTCCTTCTGTCTCATAATTGGTATTTGGCCTCAAGGAAGCAGGAAAACCAAAGTAAAAACTCCAGCCTTCATAGTAAGCAAGCATCAACATCCTGAAATCTGGAAAAAGGCCCCCTCCAGGGAAAGCGGAGCACTCGGTCTCCAGTCCCTTCATTGACCCAAGGGGGGTCCTGCTACTCCACCACCGCTTGAATATTCTGTCACTGAAAATTGGCTTGTGTTGTACGCCCTCCCGTTGCTGTGCAAGGAGGCTCTGCTTGCTGGCGTAACTGTTCCCTTCACTAAAGCCACCTTTTGAATTGAAGAAAGAGCTGAAGTGACTTTGCTTTGGTTACCTCTGCTGGCGTTGTCCCCTGTGCCTGGCACTCAACCTGCCTCTGAGGGCTATGGGGCTACAATGAATTAAAGAAACTTAATGCATGCAAGACTTCAGAGGCTTTGAGGGATCTGCAAAGTGGCAAACTACTAGGGATTTCTTCTGAAAACTGGCACTGAAAATTAATGACAAAAGGGAAAAGGGACCGTTTTTGCAAGCTTCTGCGCCCAGTTAATTGCGTATGTAGACAGGAAGGCTGGGTCACTGTCTGCAGGAGGCTGTTTGCACTCTCCTCCTAAGGGATAACGAAAGAGTACAAAGAATCGGTTTTAAGATCATTCTTTCCTTGTGTCATAAGTAGATCTTTGTGTGTAAACACTCTTCTGGTTCCTCTAATGTGCTGTCTTCTGTAAACGTGCATAATGTCTGTCTCCTACTTTGTCTTCTTTTAGTTACACCAAGGGGGAGCTAGATATTTCATACATTACCTCAAGAATCATAGGTAAGTACTGCTCATCGGATGAATCAAACCTGTAGGATCCCAGGGTTCAGAAGTCCATAAACGTGTGATGGTGCACGCTCAGCCTGGCTGCTTCTTATGTTTCCAGTGATGTCTTTTCCGGCTGAAGGCGTTGAGCTGGGATTCAGGAACCACATTGAGGATGTACGGACGTTTTTGGATTCCAGACATCCTGACCACTACACCGTCTTCAACTTGTCACCCAAGTATTATCGCAGTGCCAAGTTTCACAACCGGGTGAGCATCTTCCAAGAGGTTAACAAGAGCAGGGGATGAAATTTCTTAGGGAAAGGGGCACCAGGTCCTGTTTCTGTCTGTCCTGAGCGTTGCAGAATGTAAGAAGATGAAAAAAGGAATTACGGGTGTTTCTAAGCTTCTGTGGTCATTTCTAGGGTTTAGCTGATGTCCGGGACCACAGGGTTTAAAGAGCTGGAAAGTTCAGGGCATAATGCTTGTGTTAGGAGCCTGGGAGAGTACGTGGCATTGCACTAAGTTGAACCTGTGCTGCTCTTGGCTCCTACATAGCTGTTAGAAGCTGCTGCAGAGAAATAAAGAGTAAAATGAAAGCACTTTGAAAGAAATTACAAAAAAAATCAGGTAGGTTATTTTCATGTTGAACAATCCTTCCGTTGTGCTTTAATCAAGCAGGAGCCCTTCGCAGGCAAAGCACAGGACTGGGAACTGGATCTAAGGGGCATTTTGGCTCTTCCACTAGCGTATGACTTTAAAAACCCACCTCCACTCTCTGCCCCGGTTTCCTTCTCTAAAACCAGAACAGCGTACAGGAACATTGCAAGGCTCTGGTTCATTAATGGCTTCTAGAGGAAATCTCTGAAATACTGCTGTTGAAATGCAAGATTAGATCTAATCATTCAGAAAACTTCCTGTTCTTTCCCTCTCCCACAAGGGAGTGATGATTTTTATTTTTTTTTTAAACTTCTTATTTTTCGTTGCCTTTAAGAAAAAAGGCAACAGCAGTTGCCAGGCTTACCCCTCGGTCAGGATAAGCGAGTATCATGCAGCATAAGCCTCATTTCATTTTAATTTGAGGTATAGCTGAACCTATCTTCAGCAATTGCCCTGATCACCCGAAATGACTCACACTTGAAGCAAATTTCTCAGTGGCCATCAGTAACCAGCCGTGACTTCAAATATGAGTAACTGACAAGGAAAGAGTAATTAAAAGATATCAAGGGCTCTGAATCTTCAGTCTTGCTTGGTTCTGGTGCATTACTGTTGCTGTTGGTGGGAGGAGAAAGACAGATCTACTTTTGAAAGCCCAGCGTTAAACATCTGTTGATATATTGCTTGACCTGACTATAACTCCTCCATCCCCTGTGCTTTATCTCCTGCCCTACCCAACAGCTTAACAGATGACTTTGCGTGTCGCTCTCAAAGCATGACTAGGTGCTTTGTGAGCTATTGCCTTGACACACACAGAGGAAGAAAATTAAGCATCTTTTAATAAAATATTGCACTTTCAGGTTATGGGCTAGGAAATACTGACTCCAAGTATTTTTCAGGAATATGAAATGTAGACTACACAATACATGAGATCAGATGAAGCGTGGAAGAATTATAAATATGAGGTTGAACTCAATATATATTGGAAGAAATACTAATGGGCTGTCAAGGAGGTGAAATCACATTAAGAGTATTTTCTGCTTTGGATGAGGATGCCAGCTGAGCTGAAGTTTTGAGATACGCACTTGTTCTTTTAAATGAAAGGCTTTTAAATTCTTTTTTAAAACTTTTTGTTCCTAAGATCAAAGGAGGTCGCTTTGCTGCGTAGTGGCACAGGAGGGAGATGAGTTAATGTCCTGCTGGGTGGTTTCCCTGCCCAGACGTGGCTGTGCGGGTCGTGAAGCCCCACATGCCCAGTCTGTTGAGGAGAAGGGAGGACTATGAAGGCTAAACCCTGCCGCTCAAATCTGGTTGTGCTCTGTTCTCCTCCTGCCTCACCTCCCCGGCGGGAGAGGAGGGCTCGTGGCTGCTTGAGGAAGTGTGAGCAGTTTGAAAACATACAACTCGACTATAGCGTTAAACAAAACCAAACTTCAAAAAGTCCCTGAGGGGTCACATTCCTGGCTGTTGCTGCCCTACTGCTAAGGTAAAACAAGCGCTGGCTGCTTATTTCCAAAGCCCTAGAAGAATTCCTGTTACTTTTCTGTAAGGTTGTTGTTCATGAGTGGTAGGGAGGTGATATTTGAAATAAATGCCGTGCTACATAGCGCATATTTAATTTCCTAATTGTGAACCAGCAGGCAGATGTGTAATTATAGGCCAAGTAAATATATAATTATGGACTGTTGGGAAACATACGTTATTTACTTGATAAGTGATAATGGCTTTTCCAGATGTTTGACAGTGTGTTGTCATAAGGTCTGTTCAGAAGATGGTCAGTGAAAGGGTCACTGGTCATATTAATTCTAACAGCTACTTGGAATCGGAGTTGTGTTTTAGTGATTTAATTGCAAGTGGATCTTGTGCCTCCAAAAACCTGCTGCAAAAGTATTTGGGGTTGGGAGGAGAAGACTTTTGCTTGATATAAAATAATTGACATGATAATATAAAACAATTTCTATTATAAAATAATACATGTCATTTATGGCATCAGTACTCTGGCTGTGTTAAGGAATTACATAAAAGTTCACGATCACTCTGTAATTCCGATTTTACAACGGTCCCGTAACGCAGCAGTGCATACATACCCTGTCGGGGCCGTGGAACAGAAAGCTAACGCTGGCCGTTCCTGCACGGAGGGTGACCGCATGAAGAACCTTTGGGTGTTTTGTGCCTCCTCAGCCCTTCCTGAAAATGTACAGCAAAGGCAGAGGCAAGGGAAAATCAAGTGTATACAACAGAAGGAATGAAATAAACTACAGCTGGAGAGAGAGGAGAAGATGGGGGATGAGCATAACGCTGTAAGAGAGGGTGAGCACTCATCCACTGCCTCCCAAAGCGTGAGCGTGGCTTGACTTGTTGGGTAGCTTCTACAATGCAAACCTGCACTTGCTCCCCGAGTGCACAGCTGAATTTCAGGATATTGTGGAGACCAAAAACGTTCACGAGTCTAAAAGGCGATTAGACAGATACCTAATTAGATATTAGGTTAGACAGAAATCTCCCAGATGTTAAGCAGAGGTCCACCTGCTCAGAAGGGCTGACGGCGGGACGGATGCGCTGGGTGCGGCAGTGCTGCCGGCTTGCTCTGTCCCTGTATCCTCCGGGTGTCATTGGGGCCGTTGTTGGGGACAACGCACAAGCTTGGTAGTTCTCCGGTTTGAGTCGGGATTCCTGTTTCTGCTGTAAGATGTTGTGCAGGTGCATGTAAGGGAGAACCTTAAAGACAAGTTTTATGAAACCTGGAGCACTTCCTTCCTCTGAGAGATGAAGCAGTCGGGTATGGACATCATACGGCTATTTAAGAACATCTGGGCAAACCATCTCCTTCCCGCTCTCAGTTCTCATTAAGCAGGATACAAATATTGGCAGAGAGAGAGAACCAGTTCTTTGTCTGACGACAAGCCTCATGACATTTCTCCTGTAAATTTCTTCTAGCCAGAAATGCCTTTTAAAAGAAAAGATATTTCACTAAAAACCAGATGAAACGGAGATGTCTGTAGAAGGCTATTTGATGTGCTGTTTGAGACTGCAAGGACTATTCTTGAGATAAGTGTTATGACTCAGAACTAGTGCATTGATGAATAGTATCTAGACATACTTTAGGATTTGTGGGTTTTCAGCTTTAAGAAGTCATTAATTTTTCTGGCTCATATATTAACTATACTTACTCAGATATGATTCTTTTTTTTCACAGAAGTTTCCTTTTCATCAGTTTAATATGTGTCAAATAGGGCTTGGAAATCCTATGACACAAAATGACTGAGAACAACAGATGCTCAGTATCCTTTGAAAATCAGAGCCGTAGTTTTTAGGGACAAGCTGTACAAAGGCTTTAGACATAGCAGAAATCAATGTGCTGCTGCGAGACTGGGGTGTTATGAAAGGCCACTCAATCTGACTTGGAATGTAAATTTTTAAAAATGTACAGTCGCTGACAATACATCAATATTAGGTTATTTAATTGAGAATTCTTTTTTGTTTGCCTCCTCGTAATTCATGAAAGTCACGGAGCAGAATTATGCATGAGAAGAGATGGAGTAGCTTTCAAGTACATAACTCTAGGTTGTAAAAGAGAAGTACATTTCTTGGCAGAAAGCATTTGTAAAAGCATGCCTTGCTTAATGCTCTTATGAAGCTGGCTCTTGTTCATCGTGCGATTCCTGCAGGTATCCGAATGTAGCTGGCCAGTGCGACAAGCGCCCAGTCTGCACAACCTCTATGCCGTCTGTAAGAACATGCACAACTGGCTACAGCAGAACCCCAAAAACGTGTGTGTTATCCACTGCATGGTAAGTACACCAGAAAGTAACCAAATTTTTAGACCTATGAGTCATAAGTCATATTGGACGTTGCACGTCTGGAGTCTGTATACAAGGACGGTGACAATTTCTAAAAGAAAAAGAAATGTAAAAAACCAGATCCCCATAGAAAGGGACATCATCTTCTGTGTGCAGCTACGTAGCTAAGCTGGAGGACCTAACACCGAACGAGCAGCAGGACTGCAAAGCAAGAGAGGTCACGATTGTTCTAGTAGTGAACTACTAGAGGTGCTGAGTAGCTAAAAGGTTTGAACTTCAACCGAGAACTGACCATCAGAGTTGTCAGCCTGCTGTGGCTTTGCATTTTACTGTAAGTAGTCGCAGGACAAAATGCAGCCTCTAGACTGAAGGTTACTGGTGAAAGTTGGGGAGAAAATACATAGTTGGGAATTCTGTCGAACTCTGAAACTGAGATTGTTGAAGTCTCTTGTGGTCAACCACTTGTCAGGCCTGGGTGAAGAAGTCCCGTTGCCTTCTGTTCCTCTTTGTGCACTGCAGCCTGAATGGTTGCTAAATCCCCCGTAAGGGTTATTCGGTACTGGGCAACATGTAGATGGGGTGCGTGACAGCGCGGTGATTCTATATGACTCACTTGTGATTTACTCCATACAACCTTTAATATTGACAGTAATGCCCAAAAGGAGAGTTCTGTTTTGCTCCTGGAGCCTAAATTAAATCCGGGAGGCTGTCAGCCCTGATCATCATAAACTGGAAGGAAGGAAGGAAGGAAGGAAATGACTGATCCCAAACTGCGTAGACCTTTCATACGAGTCTGGCATTTCTGCCTTGCGTAGCACAGCCAGTGGCTACGGGATATAAATTCCATTCAAACAGAGATGAAGATGCACTTGATGCCTCCGGTCCTGGAAATCTAGCTCAAGAATCAAACTCCTTTGCTGTTCTTTGAGCAATGACTATCAGGATAATGCTGTCAAGGACAGGGAGTCCTTTTCAACACTTTCTAAGAAGTCTGCAGAAGCCCACTTAATTTATATGAAATTGAGAGATCTTTTCAGAAGCAATTGGCAGGGGCTAAACCTTAAAAAATCCAATAGCCTGTTAACCTCGAGCGCGTGCGCAGGCTCAGCGGGTTACTGGGATCTGCGTCAGCTCTGGTATGGCAATTCCTACCGTGGGGCTGGAGTGCCTGAAAGGTGCCTGAAACAAGTCATTGCAAGGAGCCTGTATAATTTTTAACTTGTGTTTCAGACTTTGAGGGTGACTGCCTGCCTGATGGGGCAGCAGGTTTCCCACTTCTTCCTTATAAATGAGCCCTGACTTCGGGATCTTCTGTCCGCTCTGTCAAGTGGAAGATGAGCTGGGTGGCACGGTACTTGGGTAGTACGGAGCGGGTTCTTGTGCTCCGCTGTGCCGTGAATGTACATCCAAAACTAAGCAGGCATCAGACCTGGAATTTGGTGGAAGCTGGTGGAAGGGCTTTTTCTTTTTGCTTGTCTCACCAAAGCTGGGGTATGGTCCGTATGGCTCATCACCTCATATGTTCCTGGGTATAGCAGGGACCTGGAGCACTGGGGACACTTTGATTCTCTCCTCTTTCTGTATTTTTGGTCTGTCAATCTGACTCAGCAAACATACTTTCCCCTATAATCACCCGAAAGAAAACACAGGCTTGTTCAGGAACAATCTGTAGGTTGAGGGCTGTGGAGGTGTTTGCGTGAGGGAGCCTTGGGCTGGATTTTTTTTGTCTGTGAACTCTTCTACGTTCAATTTCTATTAGATGGCTGCCTGGAGCTGTGGGACAGGTGTACTCTGACCCCTGCGGTCGGTTCCAGGCCTCTGTTTGAAATAATTATACTATTACAGCTTGGGAGCAGCCATGAAACACCAACATTTGTAGAGGAAAATGTACTTCTGGGCTTTCAAAACAAGTCTAAACCATCCTCAGCGTTGGCTGCTTACTGGATATTATTTTAGCTTTGATCCAGGCCAGTGCCGCTCACTGAGGTCCTAGGTATTAAACAAATGACACAGCACTGAAAATTCCTCATTATCTTGTGGTCTCCGTCTTAGTCTTTCTGGAGAAATTGTTTTATGTGATTTAAGGAAGAGTGGAGAGTGTTCTGCTGAATTTTAAAGGATGTCTCTTATAATTATACATTTTTTTCCTCCCCTCGCCCCTTTCCTCAACAGGATGGCCGTGCAGCCTCAGCAGTTCTGGTCAGTGCGATGTTCTGTTTCTGTCACCTCTTCTCTAATCCAGGCCCTGCTGTGCAGTTGCTGAACACAAAGAGACCTGGAATTGTACTGTGGCCATCTCACAGGAGGTACAGTATACCGGCTTAACGCTACGCAAGCAAGCTACATTCCTCACACTAAAAACTGCCCGAGTACCTGTTGTGTGCACTTTGGCAATGTGTTCACAGCCCCTAGGCTGAGACAGGCATTCAGATTTCACTTTGTTCCCCAGAAATAAGTGGTAAAGTGGTGTTCAGGCGCTGGAACAGGTTGTCCAGAGCGGCTGTGGGATCTCTGTCCTTGGAGATCCTTGGCTGGGTATCACCCCCAGCAGCATAATCCAATTCTGAGATACGGCTTTGAAGTTGGTCCTGCTCTGAGCAGAGAGCTGGACCAGATGATCTTCAGAGGTCTCTTCCAGCCTGAATTATTCTATTATTTTATAAAACAATGCACGTGACCTGAAGGGTGTATGTGCTGCGTGCCCTCGTCTCTCCGCCCAGACCAGGCTAAAGGCACGGGCAGGAGGTGACAGACTGAGAACTCCAGAATTCTTATTGCAGCACGCGCAGCACCCGCACATTAGCCATGGTACTTAGCTTTGACAGGGCTTAACTGATGTTTATGGCCACTTCCATTTCACCCACGTTGATTTTGTTCCTCCAGTACTGTTATATCGAGTACTACCATAGCTTGGCTCACTAGTTCAGGAAAGCTGATGAAGCTGTAGCTAACAGGGCCTGGGTGAATCTCTCTCCCTATGTACTCCTTACAGGGGTTTACACTGTAAAACTGTCTTTTTTTTACAGTTTCCATTAAGCAGAGGAAAAACTGCCTGTCAGAGCAAATCATAGTTATAGTGTTACGTATGCAATAATAATGATCCTTCAGTACGTGACTAGCAAAGTAATTCATCTGCTATGTGCACGTAAAATAGAAGGCAAATTTCTACGGGTAAACCAGAAAAACCATGGCTCAGCACCTTCTCTCCTAAAAGGTGAGGGGAAATGATCTTCAGCTCAGCGCTAAAGGCCAACTTCCTTCCTCTTGGGCTCCAGTTCTTGTAATCAAACAGAAATAGAAACGTAGATTTTGTGCCAGCTGCAAGGATGCTGGAGTACATGGAAACTCCAGCCCTGGAACTGTGAAAGAATCACACTTTCACTGGATTTCAAGGTAGACCTCAAGTACGGAATGAAAATGGGTCACCTGGGATGGAGATTTCAGTAATGGCTTTCTCTGTCTGCAGATACATAGGATACATTTGTGATCTCATAGCAGACAAGCCCGTCATCCCTCACTGCAAACCACTTACTATCAAGTCAGTCACCCTCAGTCCCGTCCCCTGTTTCAACAAGCAACGAAATGGCTGCCGGCCCTTCTGCGACATTCTCAGCGGAGAAACCAGAATCCTTACCACTTCCCAGGAGTATGAAAGAATGAAGTGAGTTGCTATGATCTACTGCCATCCTTAGGAGCTTATTGCAAGGAGGCTTTCATTTCGCTGTAAGGTGTCCAATATCCGTGCTGCAGTCATTGCTAGACTGCCTGATAAATGAAGGAGTGCATATACTAATTGAAAGTTAGTGCCTCGTGTTGAAATAAACTGCCAGAGTGAGTCTGAAGTTGTCATGCGGTGGGATGCCTTCATAGACACGGTTCAGTGTTGTGTTGTTTTCCCCTGTGAAATGTTTCTGTTTCAGCCAAGCCTAACACTAAGCAGAGCGCTGAATGCACCTTCTGTTTGCTTGGCCTGAAGGAGATGATAGCTTTTCTGTTGACATTGTTGATGGGTGGTAATGGCATTGTGGATGGGAGTTTAACTGTGGATTTCTTTCTCTTCCCCTCAAAGGGAATACCGTGTGCAAGAAGGGAAAGTCCTAATTCCACTGGGAGCCACTGTCCATGGAGATGTTGTTGTTTCTGTCTACCATATGAGATCAACCATTGGGGGACGTCTTCAAGCAAAAGTAGGAGTTTGTTTAACTTCTCATGCACGGTAGAGGCAATGTAGCTAACTAAGAGATGGCGAAATGCAGGGTCTAAGAACGCACATGGCACTTGTGATGAAAGTTTCCTTACTTGACAGTAGGCATAACACAGATTTCAGCAGTGCCAGGTGAAAACAAAGAACTGCATATGGAGAAGTCCGTGATGCCTCCGGGATCTCTTTATTGAGATGGTGTCTACTGATAGGGTGTAGGATCCTTCCAGCTGATGTAGAAGACAGAAACCGTCCATCAGTAACCAGCTCAAGGCAAGCCACCGCCAAAGCCTCTGCCTACGCGCTCAAAGAAGATGGAAGATTTTTCTTCTGCTCAAATTGGAACGGCTCACTGAGCCATTGCTCCCGCTTGCCGTCTGTTTTGCTTGCGCTAGAGCAGCCGTCACTTTTTTGGTCATTAGGGCATAAAGGCGATTTGTGTGAATTGGTCAGGCGTGGGGATAGGAAAGACCATTTAAGCCGCAGGCTGGTCAGACAGCCACCCTCTTCATAGCCAAAACGCCTCTTAATACTAGCAGATCAAAAAAATGGGAGACAGTGGGAACTGGGGAGAGAGACTGGAGGAGTGCTGGAGTGAGCACACCCTGATGTCTCCTTCCCGAGGCATAGCAGCAGTGCTGAAAGTGAAAATATTGGTATGTTCCAATACCAAAAGTATTGGTCCATGCTGTTCTAGCCTTTGAGACTGAAATTAAAATACCATTCTCTGGCTCTTGTAATTGCAGAAGAGGAATTCGGAAATGCAGTCTGTTCAGACTAAAAACCTTGGATCTGCAAAAACGGAATCAGTGGTTGTCATACACTAAGTTGCTCCATTAACCTCTGTAGTGATGAGGGTTCATTGGCTCACTCAATGAAATAACCTGTTGAAATTGTAGTGACTTAAAGCACAAAAAGTGAGGGAAGAACCAAGTTTTGTCCCACCTGCTTTGAGTACCACCTCATTTGCTCCCTGCAGATGGATGCTGCACGGCTGGTCAGGCAAAACAGTTCCCGGACTCTCACAACCAGCTGGGTGTGGTGGCTGCATTCTCAAAACGCCAGTATCCACTGATCCTTTAATCTAAGATCTTGATAATTTTCCTGATGATATGTTTGAAACGTGGATAATCAAGTTGCAGAGCGCTCAATGAACATTTTTCTCTTCTTAATTTGTTATTGGTGGTTTGCTCTATAGACGACACTTTATTGAACAGCCTACTGCAAGTGAAATGGTCTTGTATTTTCTTGGGGCACAAACCTGTTGCTTCAATGTATTCCGTGGAAACAGATATCAGTTTCATTTGACTGCTCAAGTGTCAGGTCGATCGCAGAAATAAAGACAAGCAGGGAAAGGAGGGACATTCCTGGGCGCTCTGAAGGCACTCTGCTGTATGGAGGCAGCGGGAGCAGGGTTTAAGGCGGGTGGAAATATTTGGGTTTGAGAAGGAAAAGCCCTGCTCTCTGTAGAACGAGCAGAATGAATTAGCTTATAGAGCAGTTATGATTAGTCTATATAGACTGGTAGTAATGTAGACTTAACTAACTGTCGGCATGTGCCATAAACACGTATTTTAATGTCATGAATTTAAGCACTTGTTCAGTCTGGTGCTCTGTGTTTTTTTCAGATGACCAACACACAAATATTCCAAATTCAATTTCATACTGGATTCATAGCCCTGGGAACAACCACCCTAAAATTCACCAAGTGAGTGTTTTAAGCTGAACATTAATCAAACCTGAAGCCTAAAAGCCTTATGAAGGCTGAAGGAAAATATTCGCAGATGAAATGTGCAAAGTCTGTGTGCATGCATCTATTGAAAGACTTCATATAGCTTTGCAGAAATACCCCTTCCTTCTTAACTGTACAACTTCTGTCCCCATTTAGGCCTGAACTGGATGCCTGTGACTCTCCAGACAAATATCCTCAGCTCTTTCATGTTGTACTGGACATAGAAATACAGTCTACCGATAGACAAACCGAATTAACTCCCCCCTGGGAGAACTTCACAACAAAAGACATCAATCCAACCATTCTCTTCTCCTCTCATCAGGAGCATCAGGACACTCTTGCTTTGGCAGGTAAGAGCTGCATAGATTTATTCAGTTGACACGCTTACCTGCATGCCGAACTTTGTTTTGCTTGATTTTATTTATGTGGTGCTCTATGCTGCAGGTAGAGGTCCCACTGATTCACCCCAGGATAACATAAGAAATGTTGGTCAGAGTGCATTCTTCTCATCTCTCAGCTGGCAAGGTATGCAGACTTGGTCTTCAAAGTAAAATCTGCTTCAGACAAGATAAACAATTTTTTTTTTTTTCTTCCCTCCCTGGAGCACAGAGTTAGACTGAAGGATCTGATTCTAACATATCTTTCCTATGAGATCACAGTGTATTGCTGGTCACACCCTTATGTTGCAATTGAGTGGGAATTAATTTCCTGCAATGTCCTCTTCAGACGTTGTCTGCGTGTGCTGTGTATGACAATTATTGACATGGTTCTAGTGTAAAGTTTTGCCCGAGGCCTCCTTGATGCTAAAACCAAATTTAAGCTGCTTTTTCGTAATGTTGCACTATGTATATAGTGCTACGAGAACGTGGCACCAAGAGTGTTGGTCTGAGAGGCCATTTCATAACGCTGATCACCTTGAAAATGTCACAGCACTGCCGAATGCAGCGTGCCTCCTCTGGCATCAGTGCCACGTTAGGTAGGAACCTGGTGTAAGAGGTCCTTGTGGGCACGGCTGGGAGGGAGGGTCACGTCACTCCTCCTTTATAAGGAGCCTTGCTTTGCCTGGGTTTTGAGGCATGGCTGGAGATCACCCTGGATGCTTGGTCTTGACCCCGAAACTCATTCAGTTTGTATCTCTGGGTGTTAGGCTTGCTGACTCTTCAGGCTTGAGGAGAGTCAATTAACCTCTGTCGCTGTTGTCTGATCAATAAAGCTGGCTCCTTACAACACAGACCAGCAAAGACTTTAAGTTAATCATAGAATCATAGAATCATTATGGTTGGAAGAGACCTCAAAGATCATCAAGTCCAACCGTATACCTGATGCCACCATGTCTACTAAACCATGTCTTGAAGTGCCACATCTAAACGTTTTTTGAACACCTCCAGGGACGGTGACTCCACCACCTCCCTGGGGAGCCCGTTCCAATGCCTAACGACTCTGACAGTGAAGAAGTTCTTTCTAATGTCGAGCCTGAAATCGTTGCAAAGGACTCTTATTTTAAAATCTAGCAAAATGCTGCTGTGATATTCTCGGTAGCTTTTTGTTCTGCTTGCAAGCTGATTTTTATGGGACCTTTGTGATGACAAAACTAACAGCTACCTAATTTTATTTTTAATCATCATTTAGATCAGAAATCTGACAAAAGTAGCTCTCACCCCACCTCAGAGGATCGAGCAGCGTTGGTGCATGAGGAAAGCGAACAGTCAGATGACGAACTCTTGTCCCTTTCCAGTCAGCACAGTAATGCCAGTGGTGACAAGCCTCACGGGACACCAAAACACAGCAAAAAGCAGCAAGAGCCTCCAGCACCACCTCCGCCCGAAGACGTGGACCTGCTGGGCCTGGATGGTAGCCCTATGAGCAAGAGTTTTCCCTCGCAGCCCGCTGCTGCTCCCTCTAACTCAGACTTGCTGAATGATTTATTTGGGGTTGGTGGGCCGAGTTCCCAGAGTCAAAGTGGACAGCCCGCTGCTGAGGAGGTCTTCCATGTGGGAGGACCTGGATCTGTGCAGTCAACTCCTCGGCGTTCCGCAGCTTCGGCATCCCCATCCCCATCCCCAAGGGTAGGAGAAGGTAATAGTGGCTATGCCTGGCGTGTGACTTGGGCCACGTGCTTTGAGAATCCCAACTGGGTGATCTGCTCTGGGCTGTTGGAGTCCTCTTGGGTACACTCATTTCACGAAAATAAAGAGCTGTGAGGGATGCCAAGAGGCCAGCCAGCTCCTCTACTCTGAGGCAGACGTTGGTGTGTCTTCACAGTCAAGAACACAAAGCAGATTATCTAGTTCCTTCCCTAAAGTTTCTACCGGAGCTCACCCAAGTGTTTGGCTGGCTCCTTACACTCCTACCCCCGCCAGCCACTGGAGAACATCAGTTTTGCTCTTACTGTGTGTGTCCAATAATGCATATGAGGCGAATATGTGTTCATTTAAAAAAATTTTTTTAAAAAGCCTCTTAGGTTTTAGGTGGACCCATAGCAGTGTGAATTTAATTTCTCTTTTAACTTTAGGGGGTTTGGAGCTATGACACTGATCCTGGGCTATGAAATACGGCTACACAGTTCTGCTGTTCCTGGTCTTTCTGCAGACAAGATAGGCAAATATGAGAAGATCTTTTGTTTCTTCAGAGACAGACTGAGATCAGGCTGGCAGAAGGAATGGCTGAATAGATATTAGAAAGAGGGATCTTTTGGAGGGTTAAATGAACAGAGGAGAGCAAGTGAAGATCATTTCTAAGCGAACAAACAGGCGAAGAGCCCGATCCAAGTTGCTCAGGTTCGCTGAGGGCCTCTGGAACAGACGGTCAGTTTTGCCAAGGACAAAATGCGAGCAAGTGGCCGAATCGGAGAGCAGGTCTCTGTGCACCGCGCTGAGCTGCCCAGCCTCTCCGCGTCTGCTTTGGCCAAATCCTTTATGTTACAGTTTAAGAGCTGAGGTTGTCCATGTGTACCCGAGTCAAAGAGCACTGTATGCTTGCTTCACTTTTTCTCAGCAACTAATAACTTAAGGCATTTGCAACACCTGCCAGCTTTCTCGGGCAGAAATGGTATTTTTTTCATGTTGTTAAGGAGGCTTAGGCTTGGGGGGTGCTGGGGCTGACGCCGGCAGCACCTACCACAGGATGGCCATCCAGCCAATTTCTGAAGACTCTTCTTGTGTCCTCCTTTCTCAGTTAGAATAAAAAAACCTGCCAGCTTGGGGAGGTTTGTCTGCTAGTACATTCAAACACCTCTTTGCCTATGGTGTTTTTCGAAGCGAAAGGGACAGGAGCAGTTATAATCTATTTGTACCGAGACTTGCAGAGAGAGGGAAGAGATGGAGACTGAGAACTGGAGGCAGGAGAGGGGAGAAGAATACAAGTTTCAGTGGAAGAAATTGGGCCACTTGTATATGGAGAAGGTTCATCTTGCTGCGGCCGTTGTATTCTCAGTCCGAGAGCTTTCGCCCGAGGGTGGGAAGGTTGTGCAGACACGCGTCGCACAAGGCAGAGGTGCAGCAACAGTACCAGGGAAAGATTTCTGGGTATTGTTGTCGAGCTTTGCACAGCCAGATTGGTGCTTGAAAGAGAAAGGAAAAGTATCACACGGCTAAATTGTTCCAAGCCAAGAAAGCAAGAATAAGAGCTTGCAAGATAAGTGAAGACTAGTAATTTATTAAGTATCCTAAAGAATGACTGATATAAGTAATGAGTAGCATCATTAACACAATGCATAGCTCCTCAGGATTGTATCTTTCCTACAGTAGTATCCATTGCATCTCTGTTCAGGGTGCTCTTAAACTCATTGGCAAGTAAGAATTTGAGTGACTTCATAGGGATTTCTTTTGTTGGTGGGGCTTGTTGGTTTTTTTAGATGAAAGCAGTAGGCTAAACAAATTGATCAAAAACGGAGTTTGAGAATGAACGGGATTTTTGTAGCAAGCAATCCTATGTAGGAAAGGTACCAGTTATTTTCTAAAGCTGCTTCTAAAGGACAATCTTTTAGCCTCAACATATAAAACCTTTGACAGCTTAAAATCATCTTGGACTGCATTCAGCTCTTGAGAGGAAGGTAGGAATTGCACCAGGGCGCTAACTCCAAGCTCCAGGCTGTCCCTCACCATCCGTTTATGTATTGGCAGTATGTGCGAGTTGAAACTTCATCTGACGTGTCTAAGTATCTAAATACTCACTTTGACTGCTCCTAAATTCAGCCCCTCTCTTTGGAAAAGACAGATGGGATGCACAAATGTGTTGCCGTGACCAAGTCACGGGGCTCTCTAGGTCCCCTAGAATTTGGCTAGGGTATCGATACTTTCCGGTTGCTCTCCCACAGTCACATGCTGTCTCCTGTTTGGTATCTGCAGGTATTAGGTTTTCTTCTCCACACACCAATGTCTTTTCCCTGAAGCACATTCATCGTACAAGTTAATGATTTAGTTTTCTCAAATATGTTTTCACAGCCACTGCCTTTGATCCATTTGGAAGTAGCCCTAAGCAAACTGGTCCAGACCTCCTGGGTTCCTTTCTTGGTTCATCAGCTGTCCCTGGTGATCCTTTCCTTCAGGCAACAAGAAGTCCTTCACCAACTGTGCACAGTGATCCCTTTCACATGGGTAAGAAAGTGAGGCTCTTCCAGTCTATTTAAATAAATGTGAAATGCTGCTTTTAAATAGTGATGGAGCCATTAAGTACAAACTGATGCCTACCATAAAATGATTCTAAACCACAGAAACCCCACGAAACAGGAAAGAGCTTTTTGTCTCCAGACTTAATGCATATCCATAATTTGAAGTGTGGTAGGACAAGACTCGTTTTGCTCACGTCTTATACTTTATTAATAAGCTATTTGTATACATGAAAAAAGAGACCACGAAGAATGTCTGCCTGCATATTCCTGTGGTTATGAGGTCTTGTTTGAACCAAACTACCATTAATTGAGCTAAATAGAGCATGGCATATTAAGCCTGCTAGAGAAAACACACATCCTTTGGTGATTTTAGTTACAGGCATCTGCTTTCTTTAGATCTGATAGTAACCGTGGCCAAATTCACAGCTGAATTTGACTCTTATTTGAAGAGAAGGATTTTTTTTTTCCTTTATTGGACTTCCTTCTTCTCTTTGTTTGAAATGTTCCTTAGTTGTTCTCTTCTCCCTCCATGCCAAAATTTAATGTCGTAAATTTCTCTGAAACACATTCAGCTACAAATTTGTTTGTGTCTGATCATCTAACACATGTCCCTTGGGTGCAACGGTCTCGCTGGAAAGCCAAAATGACAAAGGAGGGAACTAGTGTGCTGCTGGCACTGCTCGCATCCTTGCTTTGCCAACTCGAGTATTGGATATTAGCTCTGTGAATAAGACGGTTGGGTCACACTTGGAGCTGGCTGCACTAATGAAAGGAATTTAAATGGTATCTCAGCATGACGAGGTATTAAATTACAGTGCTAGTATCTGCGGATAATGAAATGCTGGCAGGGTGAACTGCATAGACGTACAGGCTTTATTTGATACAGGGTTAAAGGAAGGACTGTGTATGTGCTTTCTGGTTTACATCTGCGTGGGCTGCTTTGCTGTATTTGTTTTCTCCATCCTTGCCCTTTGCATGTAGAATATTTCCTTGGGTTGAGATGTATTCAGAAACACAAAACTCCATGTGTTATTCTGGATAAATAAGTATATAAAGCCTCTGACCAAAGCTATCATAAAATGAATGCTGTAAATCTGTGTCCTTCCCCACTTACCTCTGTATAGTATGAGATCAGAAAAAAACCCATTAAATTTGTAATGCTCATCGTAGGGGAGAAGTTCACTTCTAATTAGCAAATGGTAGATGGACACAACACACTCTCTCCTGCTCCTTGCCCCCTGCTCTTCGTAGATACTGGATTATGTTGGTTTTGCTGTATTACTTTGAGATATTTATGTGTAATCATTCTGCTTAGCTTCTAGCACACCAACGGTTTCCATACAACCAGATGTTTCTGGTGGCTGGGACTGGCCCAACAAACCAGGTATGTATCATAAAAATTCAGGACATTTAACAAAAAACCCCTTAAGGAGCCCTGAGAGAGGAGAGGCAGAGGGAAAATGCCGCCAGTGACTGCAGAGAACAGGTTCCCACTTTCTGCTGCTTAGTACTTTGACTAATACAACAAAACTTCTGTCAAGGTTTTAGTTAGTCTCACCTGAACTGCAGGAGGTACGCTGTACCTGTTGTCCTGGTCTTTCATCATCCAGGTGAGGATCTGGCTAACGACTATCAAACTCTGTGTTCAAAAAAATCTGGTTTCTTTCCTCAAGGAACCAGGGCCTGAAGCAGGACAGGTGCTGCATGAGGGTGTACGTAGTTGCGTTTCATTCCAGTGTAGAGCCACGAGAAGGACCTGGGAAGTGCTATGCATTCCTAGGATGCCACGAAATAATAGCATGATTCTTTCTGATCTCGGGAGAGTATGTATGTCCTACCAAAAGTTGCTTCCTGAAGACTTTTAGTTCTTGAAATATATCCATTTGTCGTAATTACTCTGTCACCGCAGACAGTCTAGGGAACATCCTTGTTGCTGAGCCTAATTGTGAGTGGGTGTGCAACTAGTCTGGGCCAACGCTGAGCTGAGACTGCTTAGGAACCTGACAATAGCGCGCTTAATTTTAACAGCAGTCTTCTAACATCATGTCACTAAGCACTGAGTAAGAGCTGCACTCATGTAAGGATAAAAACGGAGTTATTTTTTCTTTTACAAGTATTTTTTTTTTTTTCCCTAGGCCTAGGAATGGGAAGTAAGTCAGCTGCCACCAGTCCTACAGGATCCCTTCACAGCACTCCCACTCATCAGCCTAAACCCCAAACACTGGATCCGTTTGCTGATCTGGGAACTCTTGGAGCGAGTTTAGCAGGTTTGCATCCCTTATTTTAAAAAAAAATAAAGTAAAAATTACCAGCTCTGTTTTAGAGACCTAGGATAAACAGCCTGGTATGTGACAAAGAGCTCTATGGGTCCTCTCAACCTACCTGCATGCCAGTGCTGCTTGCAAGCTTCTGCCTGATTCTCTGTAAGCTCTCACAAATCTGTGCTTTTACTGATCTTCCATCAAAAAAACTGCTAGCAACTTGCTGGGACCTCAGCAGGCTCTATGGATTGCAAAGCGTAACCTCTGTCTCATAAATCCGAAGAGTCTCTGGCTAAGGATGCTCTGTGTTTAACTCTGACTGGCGAACGGTTGCTACAGACCTCGGAGCAGTGCCTGGGAGGAGACTTTGGCTCTTCGAAGCTACTGGAGTACTTGAGGAATTGTTTCCTTCTAGACTTGACTCATTTTTGGCCTTTGTGAGGAAACCTGTGGCACCTCACTCTGCTGCTGCTGCTTTGCAGTACTATCTGAAGGTGGAGTCCGAACCCATTCGCATCTGCACCTGGCTACAAAGGACTGTTTGCCAGACTGCTTAGACAAGCATTTTCTCCTTGTTTTTTCTCAGAAAATGATCAGCAAACCCTTGACCCCAGTGTTTAAAAAGCAGTTCTGACAAATTATTTAAGTTTTCCTTAAACTCCAGCATGCCAGCTTCTCTGACGCTGGTAAATAGATTTTTCTTCCCTTTGTCACTGCCCTCAGCTCTTTGCAAGCCATTGTGGTTTTATCTGATGTTTGTTTTCTCCTTTGCGTCAGTACCAGCATGGTTCTGGAATTAGGTTTCCCAGTTCCCTCTGCTGGATCACTCGCTGCTCTGCAGGAGCAAAATAAAAAGTATGCCAAGACCCATGTCAGAGCCATCGAGGTGCTTTTAAAACATCTATTCTGCAGCAAAGGCATGGGTTTTAAAAACAAATGACTTGGCATCCGCAGGATATTTAACCACATTTTTGTTGTTCGTTACTAAGTCAAAAGGACTTGATCCAGTTTCCATGACATATTTCAGAGCTCAAAGTTGAGTGGGGATGTTAGTCTCAAATAATAAAACGTTAACACTGCGTACCTCCCGCCACAAACTAAGCCAGAGGAGCATCCCCTAAAGTAATAAGGTGCCGAAACGCACAACTCTCTGGGGTAGTATCGCATCAGCACAGCGTAACGAGATACTATCGCGACATATGTCAACTTGATGGTGCCACCGTAACGCACAGCGGCTGTGGTTCCCAGGTAGCTGCAGGTCGCTTTCCTTGCTTTTCCCTAACGAGCCGCTACTCCAATTCCTCTGCAATCTTCAAAGTCAAGGTGCTGTCTTTTAAGCAGCTTACAGAGCAGTGGCAGGGAAGTTGAAGGGTTTTGCCTGACGTTGCAAAAATAAGTTTGTGGCAGAGCTGAAAATAGAAGCCAGCTGCCTGGGGGATTTTGTTTAAGTTCCCTTTTGGGGAGGCGAGTCAGTGTCCTGTTTGGTAACGCCTGCCGTCGCTCCTTTCCCCCGTACTCTGCAGGTGGCCCTTCGTTTGCCAGTAAACCGACCACGCCGACAGGCATGGGTGGAGGATTCCCCCCCTCGCCGCAGAAGCCCTCTCCCCAGCCCATGGGCGGCAGTGGGGTACGGCTGGCAGCAGGCACAAGCCAAAGCCCAGCCAAGCATGCCTCACGCCTCTCCCCAGAACAAGCCCAACTACAACGTGAGTTTCTCAGCAATGCCAGGAGCACAAAACGAACGTGGAAAAGGACCAGCCAACGTTGGTAAGCTTTTCAGAGTTCAGCACGCAAAAGGTTGACTCCTTCTGATACTGTTTTAATGCTCAAACACCTTAACAGGTTAGGATCTAAGCGCATAAGTTAAGCTGATCATTTGATGATATATGAAGTTCAACACTAGTTGACCTGTCCTAGACTCTAAAGCATGCTAATATTTAGGAAATCCTGTATTCCAAATGGGCTTCAATAATAATAATAATAATTCAAAAGTAACATTAGCCTGTACCTCTTTTGTGAGAACCTGCGCACTCATTAGCCCTGGCAGATTGTTACAGTGGTAAGGGTTGGGGGGGTGGCTTGGGTAGAAAAGCAGCGTTAAATAAATCGGTATTGTGATAACAACTTCAAATCTTTTTGTTTTTCCCAGATTCAAAACCAAAAGTGTCTGCAGATTTCGAAGATCTATTATCTGGCCAAGGTTTTAATGCTCACAAGGACAAAAAGGGCCCCAAAACAATAGCTGAGATGAGAAAAGAAGAAATGGCTAAGGAGATGGACCCTGAAAAACTAAAAGTAAGCAATGGTCTTGTTTACCCTCTTACAATCCTTCGACATGTCTTTTGTTCTCATCATGCTGGAGGCTGCTCAAAACACTGCCCTGAAAGGTGGAGAGGGCAGTAAAGCCACCAGCCGTCCTGTACTTGAGGCACCTGAGCAAATCTTTCAGATCATTTAGTGCCAGAAGCTATCCTCCTGTGCTAGCACTTACTTTAAGCGCGCAGCCTCCACAGCATTGCTGGATCCCAAGGACCATGTGCTGTCTCTCATGGTTGCTTTCCATAAAGTAGGTGTCTAAACTTGATAGCAGCATCAACTTGCTGTCCTCCGCATTCCCTCCGCATTCCCATGCGAGACAGCAATGAGCTACTGTAACCAGAAAGACAAAGTCGTGAGCTGCAGGTGTTGGGAGTATCTGGAAGAATCTCCACTATCTCATCAGGAATGAGAGATACTACTTGGAAAAAGTGGTCAGTTTGTAAAAATTCCGTTTTGAAATAGCTTCTTATAAATAAACCAGATAAAAGAGCAGTGACCATCTCTGCCAGTCCTTCTGCCCAACCCAGGTTTTGGTGAAGTGAGGGATGCTCTCCCCATGATGAGATTGCCTTGGGGCAGAAAGCGAGACCTTTCCTGCTGTTTGTTCATACAGTAAATTCTCATGCCTTCCCTGGAGATGTGAACATCCTTTGGAATAGATTTAAAACTCCAGGGTTACATTTCTGTCCTAAACCAGACTGTGGCAAACAGTGGCTTGCTCAGTGTTACTGTCAGGGCTGCTGGTCTTCCACATCACTCCAGCCCTGATTAGCAGGCACAGCTAATTGAACTAATCCTCTGTCTCATTAATCTTGCCTTCTTTGGAATTCTCTCACCTCTCCTCAATAAATTGCCAAACTACAGCTCTGTTATGGAGGGAAGGAAAGTCAGTCTGTTCTGCTCTACATTTGAAATACGTAATCACAAATTATAATTACAGAAGGATACAGAACTGAGAGGAAAAGCCCAAGCAAAAGCAAAGCAAACTTCTAGGAAACAGAATGAGTGAATTTTTTTAAAAAATTGGGTTTTTTTAACCTTGTGGACAGGTTTTAACCTTTGGAAAGTGTGTGCCAGCAACCATGCTGAACACGAACGTCAGCCGCTTGTAACCAAGCTGGACAGCTGTCAAGCCATCACGTGGGCAGTAGTTTTCCCAATTCATAAGCTATACAACTTCAGTGATTCATGTATCGCATAATGTGTGCCACATTTTCCCCCCAGCAAGCTGTTAGATCACTGAAGCACCCAGCTGATTCCCCCTTCCCAATACAGTTCCCTTTGCTCTGATGCACTTTATTTCATCGAGTCACTTCAGCCTGGAACTGTTGATCTATTTACGCTTTGGTTTTCACGTTCACTTCCCTTCCCTCCTCTCCTTCCCCGCTGTAGGCTAAGATGGCAACCGCCAAGGGGGACTGCATCACCTAGGAAAGTGGACTACCTATTGCATTATTTGACTGCTGGATTGCAGGTAGCAAGTAGGGCCATGGAGAGAATTGAGGCTTCTGACTTAGAGCTTGAAAAGATGCGTATTGAAGCCAACCTTCAGTGTGAGGCTTTAGAAGATTTAACTCTAGACATACACAAAAGATAGACATCCACAGCAGAGTTCTAGTTTAGACGTGCAATTAAGCTTGCTAAAGAGCCGCACAGTTAAACATGTCATTTATCTTTTGGCTATTCCATCTAACGACTGTTCGTAAGTGTTACCAACTCAGTATTTTTAGCAGGGAAGTTGCTCAAGTTGTGTCAAGCAGTGATATAAAAATCAGTGACAAAGTAGAGACTGACAAGTATCTTGCAAAGGTTTTCTAAAGCTTGGAAAGAAATGTAAGATGCTTTTTGGAGTCGTTGCTATTCAAATGAAGAAACTATTTCCTACTGGAATATCTAACGTAAGGCATAAATTGAGACTCACGTTCTTCTCTCCAGGTCCTGGAGTGGATTGAAGGGAAGGAGAGAAATATAAGAGCCCTGCTGTCCACAATGCATACGGTCTTATGGGCAGGGGAGACCAAGTGGAAGCCTGTCAGTATGGCAGATCTTGTCACGCCAGAGCAAGTGAAGAAGGTCTACCGGCGGGCAGTGCTTGTCGTTCATCCTGACAAGGTAAGGTGTTCCTAGTTTCACATTGTTCAGAAATTGTCACTGTTCCCTTAATTACAAAGCGTTGAATGTGATTCCTTAATTTATTGGTGCAAACAGCTTTGTAGAAAGTAGTAGTTCAAGATTTTTGCCAGTTTCTGAAAGGTGAGAACTCTTAACCACTCCCAGCCCCACGACTGTGCTTGGTACGTGCTACTCCAAGCAACAGAGATTCAGACCTTCAGCTTTCGTCATCTTCTCTTTGACTCTAAGCCATACTGGTGGTGACCAACAGTTCAGAATATTGTGCCTGGTAAAGGAGATGAGGGTGTGATGAAGGCGTATGGAAGGACAAGGGTCTAAAAATCAAACTTCTGAAATGGAAGAATCAGGTTATCTGAATAGCCAACTTGTGGCTTGTGCTCTTGCTGCTTACACTTGCCAACCAGAGTGCAATGACGCCATCTGGGAAACCTTATGGTGATGATGAGGCTTCCACTTTTAAGGAGATGGAGGTCCTGAGAGTTTCAGGGCAGTGGGCAAGGCTTGAGAAGATGTGGGCTGCCCAGAGGCTTGCAGGAATACTGCTTTTATCAAGGAGCTGT